GCCTGTCTAGGTCGTAACTACCACTGATCTACGTAACAATACACCTGTGAACATACAGGAAGATTACTACAGCCAAGATCATGTTGCTGATGTTGCTGATGTTGGTGTTCCACAAGCATCTCTTCACCTGAACTATTTTGTTCTGTACTGCCTGTCAGTACCTGAGGTTACTGGATGGGACAGAACTATACATGGCTTCAGGGTTGCCCCATACAATATCAATATTAAATGGAAATCCTCAAAATTTAAAAGCTGATGAGAACATGTATCAGGCTCAGGGCTCCAGATAATATTTCATGATCAGAAGTATGTATTCCTTATGTTTTCTACATAGGAGTACTGGAAAACAATAAGAGTATGTTTAGAGTACAGAATGGAAATTAATGGAGTATCAGTAATCTTGTGTTTTGTTTCATATATGCACCACAACATTGCTACTCTTGTGTAAACAGGTCAATAAACAATAAAACAATATGCTTTCAGATAAATACATCTGTAAATGATTCTAAGACCGTACACCATTGCTGTGGTGCGTATCTGCTATGTTTTTTCTAAATTATTTCCTACCGTATCGTGCTTATTTTATATCCGTACATACGCCGATATGGCCCTTATCTGGAGCCCTGAGGCTTGTTCAAAACCTGAGGAGTGAGCCATGAAATCATCCCATGCAGATAATATTTTGGTATTTTTTCTTCTGCAAGATTTGAAGCTTCTATTATTTTAACAGCAAACTTCACAAATGCTATATATAGTATAGCAGAGGCTCAGATAAGCTGCGTATCCGGGTAAAATACACATAGAAAATTTCCAATTACGAATTGAAAAATAATTGTTGCGTACCAATTACGCATTTAAAATGTTAGATACGCTGAAAGTTTAAAACAAATGGTACGGAATATATTTATAAAAATCGCTTGCGTAATGAAAAAGACATCGATTGCTATCAAGCTGTACTGTTAGTATAGGACAAGTGTTGTACTGTCAGTATAGGATGAGTGACTCTTTATGAAATCATTTTCATTATATTTAAGTTGGTTTTGATTAGGTATGACATAAGGCAGAACATACCTGCTTAGTAAACTTACTCAATGACATATACTTAGGTGAGTAAAATGACTGAAATATGCACATATTTGAAAGCAGTGGGTAACGGAAAATGAAATACCCACTCAACATTCATAATACCCACTCCCAAAAAATATAGTGGGTACAGTACCCACATGAGTTAAAGCTTATCTGGAGCTCTGGTATAGTACTGTTTCTTTACAATACAGTGATTCAAACAACAGAAACAAACAGTGTTGTGACGAGATCACCATGGATAACATCATCGTAGATTAACAGACTGACATAAAAAAACAACCTAAGATAATATTCATTATTTGCCATTTCCCACCCAACTTACTTGAAACTTCAAACACTGATCCCCTGCTTGAAAGGCAATTATGATACTGAGGAATGCAGGATTTGTGGAAGTCAACTTCTATATTGTGAATAACAGGATGTTTCGGAGTGTATGCTTGCTCCTTCATCAGGCAAAGGAGCAACCTAATGAAGGAGCAAGCATACACTCTGAAACGTGTTATTCACAATAAAGAAGTTGACATTCATAAATCTCCCTTTCCTCATGCATTCCACTTCTAAATGCCCTTCAAAGATTTGAATTATGATACTCTTGAATATTTGATGCTTCTTGACACAGATTCCTATTTCAGGTGAAATTGGGAGTCAACAACAAATAGAAAAGGAGTATGTACACTTTTCAATGTAGATGTAGCATAAAGCACTAGAGATAAAGTTGTTTACTAAAGTGAAAGTATAAGCCATTCTGCCGACAGACTCTCCACTGATGTTTTAAATCTTCAGTGAAACGATATATTATTGAAATATGAATAGATACAGCATTTAAGTATAAACAGTGAGTGAGTGAGTTTAGTTTTAGCAATATTACAGTAATTTCATGGCGGGGGAACACTAGAAATGGGTTTCACACATTTGACCACTAGGTTAACCCACCACCCCAAAATATGAATAGATACAGCATTAAAATATGAATAGTTACAGCATCAAAATATGAATAGTTACAGCATCAAAATATGAAGATACAGCATTAAAATATGAATAGATATAGCATTACAATATGAATATATAGCATTACAATATGAACCAGGTTAGCGAGTTCTCCATATGGTATTGTGTGAGCATGCGTGCTTGTCGTGTCACCCCGTAAACAGCAATTTTCAAGCTTTATGATGTTTGTCTGTAAATAATCGAGCCTGGACCAGACGATCCACTAATTGCCATTTTGAACATTTACCTACTAGATTGGGATATGATGACGCATGTTAGTCCTGATAGTGGCCTCATACTACAAGCATGGGTTGCTGAAATCCAATACCAACCCTGATCTCCACGGTTTGTATTGTCTGAGAATATTATTGATGCACCAGTGCATCATGTGACATCACTATTTAAACACCATATAGCAGCTCAAGTCATGACTATTAAACTGGGTCATATCATTTAGGTCAAGCCAACCTTTGACTACTGACCAAGGTCAATCCAACCCTGGACTACTCTTTTAAGTCACGCAACTCATGATTACTTCCCTATGTCATGACAACCCATGACTACTGACCTATGCCATGCCATCTCATGATTACTGACCTATGTCATGACAACCCATGACTACTGACCTATGTCATGACAACCCATGACTACTGACCTATGTCGTAGACAACCCATGACTACTGACCTGTGTCATGACAACCCATGACTACTGACCTATGTCATGACAACCCATGACTACTGACCTATGTCATGACAACCTATGACTACTGACCTATGTCATGATAACCCATGACTACTGACCTATGTCATGATAACCCATGATTACTGACCTATGTGATGGTAACCCATGACTACTGACCTATGTCATGACAACCCATGACTACTGACCTATGGCATGACAACCCATGACTACTGACCTATGTCAGAACAACCCATGACTACTGACCTATGTCATGACAACCCATGACTACTGTACCATGTCATGACAACCCATGACTAATGACCTATATCATGATAACCCATGACTACTGACCTATGCCATGCCATCTCATGATTAATGACCTATGTCATGACAACCCATGACTACTGACCTATGTCATGATAACCCATGACTACTGACCTATGCCATGACAACCCATGACTACTGACCTATGTCATGACAACCCATGACTACTGATCTATGGCATGACAACCCATGACTACTGTACCATGTCATGCCAACTCATGATTAATGACCTATTTCATGCCAACTCATGACTACTGACCTATGTCATGACAACCCATGACTACTGACCTATGTCATGACAACCCATCATTACTGACCTATGTCATGACAACCCATGACTACTGACCTATGTCATGACAACCCATGACTACTGACCTATGTCATGACAACCCATGACTACTGACCTATGTCATGACAACCAATCATTACTGACCTATGTCATGACAACCCATGACTACTGACCTATGTCATGACAACCCTTCATTACTGACCAATTTCATGGCAACCCACGACTACTGACCTATGTCATGACAACCCATGACTACTGACCTATGTCATGACAACCCATCATTACTGACCTATGTCATGACAACCCATGACTACTGACCTATGTCATGACAACCCATGACTACTGACCTATGTCATGACAACCCATGACTACTGACCTATGTCATGACAACCCATGACTACTGACCTATGTCATGACAACCCATGACTACTGACCTATGTCATGACAACCCATGACTACTGACCTATGTCATGACAACCCATGACTACTGACCTATGTCATGACAACCCATGACTACTGACCTATGTCATGACAACCTATGACTACTGACCTGTCATGATAACCCATGACTACTGACCTATGTCATGACAACCCATGATGGTACTGACCTGATGTCATGACAATGACTACTGACCTATGCCATGACATGATGACTACTGACCTATGTCATGACAACCCATGACTACTGACCTGTGTCATGACAACCCATGACTACTGACCTATGTCATGACAACCCATGACTACTGACCTATGTCATGACAACCCATGACTACTGACCTGTGTCATGACAACCCATGACTACTGACCTATGTCATGACAACCTATGACTACTGACCTGTGTCATGACAACTGACCTATGTGTACCTATGTCCTATGACAACCCATGACTACTGACCTATGCCATGATGACAACTACTGATGACTACTGACCTATGCCATGCCATCCATCTCATGATTACTGACCTATGTCATGACAACCCATGACTACTGACCTATGACCATGACAACCCATGACTACTGACCTATGTCATGACAACCCATGACTACTGACCTATGTCATGACAACCCATGACTACTGACCTATGCCATGACAACCATGACTACTGACCTATGTCATGACAACCCATGACTACTGACCTATGGCATGACAACCCATGACTACTGACCTATGGCATGACAACCCATGACTACTGACCTATGCCATCTCATGATTACTGACCTATGCCATGCCAACCCATGACTACTGACCTATGTCATGACAACCCATGACTACTGACCTATGTCATGACAACCCATGACTACTGACCTATGTCATGACAACCCATGACTACTGACCTATGCCATCTCATGATTACTGACCTATGCCATGCCAACCCATGACTACTGACCTATGCCATGCCATCTCATGACTACTGACCTATGCCATGCCATCTCATGATTACAAACCATGCCGAAGAAACACTCAAAGAAAGAGAATCTGCTGTTAACCTGACAACAACTTACAACTACTTTTTTTAATTTGGAAACAATGATTCTAAAGTTGCTGCAAACTGTTCCAGGACGGGCTGCAGTCCTGTCTGATGTGTGGCGTGGGTGGTGAGAGAGAGAGAGAGAGATGAAAGCGGCACCTACTTTACTGACCAGTTCATTGATGGAAGCATCTGCATGGTTTTGTATCTGGAAGCTCTCGACTTGGAATGTGGCAGTTTCGTCTTCATTGTCATGATATTGATAGTCGAGATCTTTCGATGAAATATGTGTGTACTCCCTGGAAAAAATGCTGACAAATAAATGCATTATAGCAAGTGTTTGGTGTCCATATAAACATATCTGTTCAAAGAAATACTGAGTTGGAATTAAATCTGTTAGAAATATTCCAGCAATATGAAGGTAAGTCAACACTTATATGGAGAATCAGACTCTGGCCTTCCGGGGACGAGATGAAAAAAATGAAGCCAAGTCCTAAATTTTGTTAATCATATGAATACTGTATGAAGGCAACCTTACACTTAAGTAGCATTTAGTTTTTGTTGCCCAATGCAGCAATTCAAAATGGTCATATACAGTAACACACCAAACAACAGAGTCCAACCAGCCGCCATTAAATCAGCCTGTACAACCTTCACAGGCCAGTGGAGATCAATTCTAGCATGGAATCACCCGGGGAAACTGTTTATGTTGTACAGATGGTTGCCCCTTTGGTTTATATTTCCCTTTTCCACAAAACACAAGTAATCACACCCCACAATCTTGGCAGATATTTCTACCTCGTATCCGGACAGATAATGTTGATTGGATCCAAATATAGGTCTGCAGACCTCGCTGAATGCTTCACTTGACAGTCCAACACAAAGAGATCGCTTCCCTTGATGTACTTACCCATTTTCTGTACATTCTCCTAATGTGTTCCATAAGTAATCAAATGTATCTTGTGACATGGGCGGGTTTGGCGGAGTGCTTGTTGCCGAGAGCTGCGACATGGGTACGACTATTTTACCATATCTGAAAATAAAATCAGTTGGTCAAAAACGTGTGGTCTGATACCAAAACAGATAGAATGGCTCAAAATCCATACAACATGAATATGATTTGGGTGCTGACCTACAAAGTATTCAGGGTGTCCTGGCCTTTCAAAGGGAAGCAACTCTACAGTACCATAAACAACGGGGCACAGTGAACTACTGGCATCCAGACTAGAGCACACTACCAGTTATGAAAGTAAGAATGACACAAATAGTGCAATAAAGCATTGAGTACAAGGTGATGAATTTCTCACATTTCCTTATTCAGTGATTTAGTTAGACTGACAACCAGTCTCTGAAATGTACATATTTTACAGAAATAAAGTTCATAGTAAATAAAAACAAAAAACAAACCCAAAATGGAAATGAGCCCTGGGACTTTCTTCATTATCAGAAGCTGTGGAAATCTAGACTTGCCACATTTTCTAGACTTGCGCTTTCTTGGATATATTTGCTTCAGGTCTGTCTGGCAGACTATGATTTAGTCTGGTTGATGTTTAATATAAATGTGACCTTAAAATTTAGTGTCTGAAAGTCAGTTGCTTCCTGACACCAGAAGTGAAAATGAAACAAACTGTTTCTATTAAAAGCTAACAATAGCAATGAGCTCAAACCTGTTTGTCCAGGACAGTTTCCCTAATATTAAAGTTATACCAATGGATGGGAGAATTTACGAAATCCTGTGTGCATGCATGCATACGTGTGTGCTCACTAGTGTTGGGAATCGGAAACCAAAACCACTATTGATTATCGGAGGACTTGTGGTGAACGATTATTGATTATATTAGAAATCTATACACTTTTAACGAAATCACCAATTTTAAGGATATTTCCCCAGGTTTTTTCTAATGAATGCTTTTTATAACTAATACTGTCATGCAATGAAACGCACGCATGCAAAAAAGACACTGGACTTGTAATTAAACAATAAAGTGGTTAAAATTTTACGAGCATAGCGTTACGTTCTTGAGCGCATGTTTGTTGGTGAATATTCGTCAAATTTAATGGTTAGCTTACTTCATTCAGGTGAGTTATACTGAAACAACCAACTTCAGATTAATTGAAAATATGTTTTTTACAATCAATCATCATTTTCAATCCTTCTTTCGATCGATTTTCGATCATCGGAACACCACTAGTGCTCACCTACATGCCCGGGTCTATTATACAGGATCACTATTCAGACAACTACACTTTCCAAAAACTTCCAATACATCTTCAGTGACGCTTGCTTTTATAAAAACATTAGACCATAGTCACACCTCAACATGCTCAGTTGTCGGAACAATTAATCATAAAAATTCAAATAATTTCCATCCTATTGATCTAATGACAGAAAGTTTCACCTCTGCTGACACCTGTGAATGGTGTAATTAGAACAAGCCTTCACCACTTACTTGGAATACTACCTTGTGTACAGTTCAATACCCTAATGTACAGATACTACAACAAACACACACACAATGCATTAGCATATGCAATATAAATGAGCAATGATTAACGGCCAACGCCTCACTGCTACCAAATCATATCACAATCTTAATTGTTGGGTTACAGGAAGACGTATTAGATTAATCATTACAGAACACCTCACATCTTCATGGATTCTTCAGCATCTATTTAGGAGTCTAGAGGATCATTACAAATAACATTTTAAGGATGACTTAACGAATAAGGCGGCACCAAGCCCGTAACCTTTATCATGGCTCCCTTTATTTCCAACAACTTCAGGAGTCTTCCACCAAGATTAGAAGAGAAGAAAATCAAGCACACCTAACCTCTTTACTGAACAGTCACTGTATTTCTTAGCAGGTTGGAAACATCAACGGAATAGTTCAATAAACTGAATGATTTAGACAGAAATACATTTCTGAATGCAAATAATCTACATTTATTCTCCTTTTGCACGTGTATATGATAAACAACAATGCACAGGTGATAAAAATGTCTTTTTTTCTGCACAAAATTTTAACATTATAACTTGTGTGCCTATTCCATACAATGATTCAGGTTTCTACTGCCATGCTCTAATTTACAAGGAAAACCATCAACGTTTATTATTACAGTTGCAATAATTCAAAATAACAATTCGACCAAATTGTGTGCATATCATTATAGGTTTCTGCATTAATATATCCCTTATTTTTTTCCCTCAGTATATATATAGGCCAACCTACAAATACATGACCAGTTATACCTGACATGAACTGGTTCATTTACTGGCTTTGTTTGGCTGAAGTTTCCCAAGTTCAATGTATCAATTCAACCAAGACAAACAAGTTTTTCTCCATTTCTCTCTTAAGAATCAGCTTTAGTTTTACTGATCACTTAATCAGGATCAGTTGTCAGTGTGCACTGCAGTCACAGAGGCCAACATTTCAAAGGTCACACGAAAACTTATACTTGGTCTTACTAACTCTTACTACCTTCATGAAAGAGGTTAGGTGTTAACTTCAAACAAAATGAAGTATACTATTTGGACTTTGCACATTTTATCGTTTGAACTGAGCAGTTTTAGTTTGACATCCTTACTCATTGTATAATTACAATTTTGTGTTCACAATGTTTGAGGCCAACTTGTGATATTAAGTGCTGTGCAAGTAGCAAAACATTATTATTGAAACTGACAGCGTTAACTTTCCAGATAGTTTTTTCAATTAAATAAGATCAACTGAATATTCAAACGATAAAAAAAAAAAATTCCCACCAAAACAACCTGAGAAGGACGAAACACCTCTGTAAGAAATGTATGATTCTGACCAAGGGGTAAGATATGTCACAGGTATTTCACAATGTAATCCACATGACTTGTAATTTTGTATTCCGAATCAACTAGCAATAATCATACAGTTAAAGGAGTCAAGTTCATTATTACAGAGCCGTTATGTGCACATCACAAAAGCATGTGATGTATTTTGCATCATAATCATGTTAATTGCACAACCATTCAATGTTGAACAGTAACTACCTGTGTCCTCCACACATTGCACCACAACCATGAGGTATAATATCAATATTATGCAATTGCAGCCATTTGGAAGCTATAGCAATTTCAAACAATCATACAAGTATTTAGCAGAGAAACAGGTTCTCACTGATGTGAAATACACCCTACAGCCTAAAGCAGTCAGGTTTGGAAATGCAAAATTCTGCAAAGATATATGCACCTTCCCAAACCTTTGAAGGACCTTGAAACCATTCACACCTTGTACATGTTCTAAAGCTCACAATGTTCAGGAAGAAGGCAAAGCCTGCACATACACACAGGAATGTAGGTCACCACTTGTGCTTCATTCATGATCGTAGTATACCTGGAAAGGGGTGGGTGTATCTAAGAATGCAGAGCTTGCTAACAGCTAAAACTGAGCTGCTCATGGTTGCAAAGGTTGGACTACCCATTGTGTGAATCAGAAATGCAGCATATTAACAGTAAATAGATGCAATGGCTTGCTAGGCAGCATTTTTTTGTAATAGCTTCAAATTGCAAGTGTATTACCTATGTACAGCAAATAGTGGAACTTATAATGTAAAAGAAAATAGTAAGGGCGAAAAGAGTAGGAATATAAACTGGTCCACATAGACATAAGGCTCGTAAAAAATCATACAATCAAGAACACAATTAACAGCAGATCTGAGAATGTGAAGCATTTTGTTGGACTTGATAAATGAAAATGTATGTTGCTTTTATTCATGAATAAAGCCTGATCTATGTTTGATTATCACATCATAATATTCACAAAACCACTCTATAAATAAATATACAGATTAATTTCCTAATCATTCGTTACAGTAAATATCATCTTTATAATTTGACTATATGTTGTTTGAACTTTCAATATTAGATTATTTTGATTGAAAATGTAAAACCTTCCAAATTCAACAAGAGAACTGACTGCAATCTGCTAAATACCATCAAGTTTAGGAATTCCTATACTCATATGAGGGCAACAGAGTATGAATAGCTTCGATACTTGCAACAATATATATATATATGAGTACTACAGATTTAGAGATCATATTAATTACTCAATATCTACACAATATATAAATTAAGAGTAAGTCTGGATAAATAACGGGTGTGCACAAATGCTTCGTTTGAAAAAATATCACGAAATTCCTTCTGCATCCGTGTGCATGTTTTGTAAACATTGCATGCACGTGCTAACGTCAAACCATCACACTTAATGCATCGAACAATAAAGCTTGATGAAATTATGTCACCTTATAGTATTAACTGTGTATTAACTGCATGATGCACACTTGAAACTAGATGTTCAAAGTGACAACAAATTGTATGGAAATCGCAAACATGACATCGGACAACACTCAGAGAAAATGGACGCCATGTTTAGTAAAAATCTTTGAGGGTTTCCATCAAATAAATCGATCAAACGTGAACGATAAGTAAGAATACTTACGAAGATGTAGATTTAGTTGTGCAAGCTGTTGCTAAAAGTGCAATCACATCACACACAGTAAGTGCCAATAGATCTCCAAATAATCGGTCAACAAGTTGTTCCTGATTTTACCGCTAGTCATTACCCACGTGCTGATCGAGAAATGCTTTCAATGCTAATAGTCTCAACAAATATTACTACGCCAATGTTTCCGTATTGGCTGACGTAGAATAAAGCGTCTCAGCACATCACTTTGCTTTTGTGTGCATCGTGAGCATATTGTTGTCTAACATTTTACTGTAATGCCTTTTGATACAACAATACATATTCTAATTAACGAAACAATGGACTATTTTCATTGACCGCGGAGAAACAGGTGCGCGCTGTTAACAGGTCATTAGGCCGTGCACGCTTTGGTCTTTTGTTCCAAGAGACGATATGTTTACAACAAACTTAACTAATCCGTTAATCTCTTATCACATTTTAATTATGTTGTTTTAATAAAGTGACATTAATTTGCACGAACACGATAATCACCTTGTGATTCAGATCACGGCGAGAGGTGTTTGGCGCCTTTTTCAAA